GAAAGAATTTCAGGCAAGAGGAGGAGGCATAATGAGAAAGGTCGAAGTGAAAGCAGAGGAAAAACAGATGGCAGCCAGGCTCTAGTGGGACAGTGGGATATGGGCAAATGGAAGGAGATAGAGCTAAGGGGAGCAAAAGGGGCAGACTTGTGCATGCCTTGAAAACATGGCTTGTAATTTGTTCAGAAGGGGACAGGCACCAAGAAAGGATGTGAAGAGAAGCAGGCACAGTTGGTGCCATTGATGAATGTTGCTGTGATATTCCAGCTTGATTAAAAAGGGAGCACAGTAAATGTTAGAGAAGTGAGGAAAGAACAGATTGCAGTAGCCAGGCAGAGAAAATGCAGCTTGTGGTGTTCGGCAGCTGTAGCAAATAGGATGGACTGGTTGGGAAGATCTAGCAGATTTTGATGGTAAGGCCTTATCATGGGCTGTTTGCATGTTACTGTAGTTGTCAGATCTGGGGAGTTTCTTTTGTTCCACTAAATGCTTACAGAGTCTGAAGACAGGTTTTTTTTTGCTGTGGGTACACTTCATTCATTAGTCATCTCTCATTTCGATTACTGTAATGGCTTCTGGCTAGACGCTGTCCTTCTGCTCTTCACTTACAATCTATCAAAAATCTGCCACATACATAATATCTTGTCATCTTTTCTGTTCACTTAGTTTTGCTGCCAGATCCCCTTGAAACCAACTTTAAAGGACACTCTCAAGATGAAAACCAAACCATACTTTGAGTTCTTAGTTAAAAGAAATGGTTGTTTGTGCTATCTTGTAGTTATTTTCTAAAAAATAATTTAAAAGCCCATCACTCATGTGGTGTGACAGTCACCTTGGAGTTGTGCAGGATATACATGGCAGTGAATAATCATAGTAATTCACAAGACTTCTGCTCCCACTGTGTGGGTCCTGCACTCAGCCAGATGGCTACCACAAAGATTTCCTTCCAGAAGAGAGGGAGTGGTGCTTGCACATGCATTGCATCCTCTCCTACCTTGAACAGAGGAAGAGGGCAAGTTGCTGCTAGTGCCTTGGTAGGAAGAAGAGAATCATTTTCCTGTAGTTTATAGTCAGTGTGCAAAGTTGTTGTGGAAGAAAGCAATAAAACGATAGCTTTGGTAGCACTTGTGGTCTAAAGAGGAGCTTGTTGTCTTCCCTTTTTCTATGCTTTTATTTCTGGAAGGCATCTGGGAGGAGAGCACTCTGAAGGTGAGGCAGAGCGGTAGGGTCACACTGTGTTACTGGTGAGGGAGAGAAGCTGGGGATCTGACAACTGTAGACCATCAGTGGTGAGTTGTTATGAGAGTAAAGGAAAATGGCTATTAGAAGGAGGAGAAGGATTTTCAGCTTACAAGGGAGAAGTTTTGGATTGGATTAATAGGTGATTGTGATCACCTTGGAATCCAGTGATGGATTTATCTGTAGTGTTTGTATGTGTGACTGTCCTTTACTTAAATAGAAGTTACTTGTATCCTGAAGGGTAAGAGCAGGGAGCTTCTCTTCTAATAGGAAGGAGACAAGATCTTACTTGATTAGGGATTTGCAAATGGAGTGCGATTGCAAATTACTGGAGATAACGAAAGTAAAAATTTACATGTCGATACCAAAATTAATAATGTTACGAAATACAGTAAGTTAGAGAGAAAGCTTGCAAGAGAATTATGAACCAAGAGCCCTGAGAGCTCTTCCCAGTGGCTTCTTGTGTGTGGCAATGGAAGAACCATGCTGGATGTGACTCTTATGAACAGTGAGAACTCACAGCTCCACCACGGCGGTTGCTGAAACAGATCAAGACTGCATGTCGCAGCATATCAGCCCTGAGGTTATGGCTCTGCAACTTGCCAGGCTCCAGCAATCCGCATAACACTGGGCTTTTGACCTCTTTCAGAAAACCTAATTACTTTCCAGAACAGCTCAGAGCCTTGAAGAGAGTGCTCCCTGCAGTGATTGTGGAAATACAAATCTTTTTCTATTGTCTAATATTTGGTCTCAACTACAAAATAGCATGTTAGCTATATAGTATGTTCCTGAGGCCTCATCTTTATGTCAGAATGATTACGACTGGGAAATAATATTCTAATTCTGCTATTTCTTGCTAGTAGGATGGTCAGGAAATATGGTTAAAATGCTTTGAGATTTGAGAACATTGTTCAAAGCATTTTAAACTGTTTACTCCTGTCTGTGGAGAAGACAAATGTGAGCTGAATTGATCTGTGATCAGTTGTTCTTCTTGGTGTCTGTGTCCCATGTCACACGTCTGTGCTCCTAGAGGGAGCAACCTTTGTCAAAGGTTGTGTGGAATGTATTTTACAGGGCATTGGAAGCCTCAGCAATAATCCCATCTGGATTTTATCTTTTTTAGTCGGTCTTTTCCCATTCTTCTCTTAAGGGAAAGAGCGGTGACTGTCAGCAAAAGGAACGGTATAACACACACCTTGAGTCAGTGGGAAGTGAATGACTCAAAACCTTCAGTTTGGACTGGGCCATGGGTGTGCTGTAGAGCTGCTGGGGCTGGCTGGAGTGCTCCCGCCATTCTGGTTCTTCGCCTTCCCCTGCCGCCCGGCAGCAGCTGGAGCTCAGCGGGGGAAGAAGGTCCTTGGGCCCGTGGGCCTGTGCTGGGGCCCCTTGGCCTGGTGGGGCATCTGCATACAGGTACAGCATGACCCAAGCAGTGTGTGCGACTTAGAGATACCAGCAAGGTGTTAGGGAGGTGGTGGGACAAGGAGCCCGGAATGGGAACTGCAGGCTTAAGGGAGAAAGGTCAGTCTTTCTAGAACCTGGAGTTCAAGGACAATTCTGAGGGGAGAACAGAGATTAAGGCTCGTTATGGAAGGTGGGATGCAAGGTTTGGGCCAAGCTAGAGTGTGAATTATATGTGTGTGGGTGGGTAGCTGAGGAAATATGGGAAGGGGCCCTAAACACCCATAGAAGAAAAAAGAGAGAGGCATAATTAAAAACATATGAGCTAGGGCATAGTTTGGCCAGGAATGGGGTGGGTACGTTGTTTGTTATTAAACTGGGCCACTAAGAATGACCAGAAAGGAAAATGCATTTTTATCTCTTGGATTCATGCAGAACATGCCGAGACATGGGACGTGTGAGCAGAAAACATGAGGCTGGCAAGACAAAGCGGTCTCTCCATGTTAACCTCTGTGTATGCATAAGAGTAATAAACTTGTGGAAAGAATAATTGGATGTGAAAATTGATGTCAGAGTGAGATTTTTGGAGGTTAAAAACATGTTTGGGTTATTTTGATAATCAGTGACTATTCTGAGAAACTGAAGATGTTGCTATTAACCAGAAAGGCCCTTTGTTTCATGTCCCATTTCAGTTGTCATTGTTACATTAATATCTACATTTTTTCTGCTAAATTACTTTCTGATCTGCACTTCTCCCTGCCTCTGGCCTTCCTTTTTTTGCTTAGTTTCTGTCTAACAAAAATCCTTGTCAAATCCTTGGCTTCAGCAGCGCACAATGCTCCCCAACCTTGTTTCAGCCAGGTAATTTAGCACTCGCTGGTTGTCTGCCCATGGTGAAGTTCACTTCCCAGCATGAAGTCCCTAAAAGTCATCTCGGTCCTTCAGTGTACCAGTCCCACTGCCACGCACAGTTTGCAGTGTTGCAAATCCTGTTTGTTCTGGGGTTTGTCATAAAGGGAGTGTCATGGGGTTTTTTTACCAAGAGGCAAAGCGAGAATTTTTTTTGTTGCTTTCTTAAATACCAGATTATTCTTGTTTGCATAATTGACCCTGATGTTGCCTATGTTCTCTTTCTAGGAGAGGTATGTAGCTGGCTTACTCGTCTTCCTTAAAAATTTAGATCATATTATACTTTGTTTTAATTAATTATATAATCTTGTTTGTTTCTGTTTCTTACTGTTTCTTAGGCTGTAGCACATGCTGGCTTCTTTCTAACTTGCCAAACCAGCTCTAATCTCCTTGAGCTTCTCATTTGTTTATCAGTAGAAGCTTTAGAATAATAAGAACACACATCTGGGACACTCTCCCAGGTTATGAATGTTACTTGCTCAGCTCGCAGTTTCCACAAAAATGGGTCTGAATTCGGGAGCTTTGCAGTGTAACTGCTAGGCCAAAATGCTGTGCTTTCTCTTGTCAGTGGGTGAGGTAGTTCTGTCTCCTGTCTCACCTAAAATGCTGCTGGTCTCCAGCTGCTTGGAATTTATTCCTGGGAAAGGTTAGCTCGATACTGACATTGTCTTCAGATTCAACTTAAGGTGTGTTTTGTATTTTCCTCCAGCCCAAACTCGGGACCAGAGAGGTCAGTGCCATGTAACATGATCTGTAAAGGATTTTCTGTGAGCACTGTTGCAACAGAACTTCTCAAGGCTAGCCTGATGTGGCAGTGAACTACTGTAGAGTCTCCGTGTGATGAAGTATTACTGCTTCAACCTATAAATTAAGGAGCATTGAGCCACGAAGCATGCAGACTACTGGTGTAACTATCCATATGTTCATAAGAGGTGTGACAAACTCTCATCCTAATAAGAGAGGGCAGATGTTACTTTCTCCTTGTCCTGGTAGTCACCTTTGTATTCTCTGGATGACACCTGTGCTAGCTTACTGTCACCTGATTCCATTGTCAAACAGGCACAGGGAAAACAAACATGCTTACCAGCTGACATAAACTAGACTTTACCTTGCATCATCCAAATACTGAAAAAGCAGCAGACCTGAGCTACCTCAGTGTGTCCTTCTGGCCTCATGTGTGCACTGAACAGAACTGCAGCCAAAAAAGCACTGCAGTACAGAGGCAATGGGTCACTGACCAGATCATCCACTTTCTCCTCTGAGAAGAGGGAGGTAAAAGCACTTACGTACTGCTTCCCTGTTCTCCCTCAATAATTAAGAAGCTGTTTTTATCCTTTGCTCGATTTTACTGTAAAGTGCATTCATAGCTGGCTTCTGCTGCCTACAGTAACAAACAGCAGTGTAATAAGCAGTGCATTACTAATGTAAGCATGTTTTATTTTTCTTTACAGGTAACTGTGCTGGTCCTTTTTGCCCTTGCATTCTTAACTTGTGTTGTATTTCTGGTAGTCTACAAGGTTTACAAGTATGATCATACCTGTCCAGAAGGATTTGTTTTCAAGGTAAATTGTGTACACATTCTAGAAAAATAGAAGATTATCTAATATTCTGTCTTGTTTTTTGCATAACCCTGATTAAGTCATGCTGTACTGCATAGAAATGTGTTTGTTTTCATAGGTTAGTGTGCTTCCTGCTATGTTTCTTTGTGCTTAATTTATAATTGAGGTTGCACTATTGCACAGTTTTCATAATGTTATTGTTTTGGTAATGCTTTAAACACTGAAGATATAGCAAAAGACCCAACACCAGTGTCCTTCAAACCTACTTCACCTGCAGTTGTCTGGAAAAACCCCTCATTTTTTCATATGGTCCTATGGTTTAATGTTGCATGTTCCTCCAGATTCATGTGTCTTAGGAGAGAATGATAAAACCTGGAGAAAAAAATTACTCTGGAATGTGTGTCAATGAAACTGTGATATTAAGAATAGCCATAAGAGTTACCTTAGGGTTATTTTTGTAGAAGGAACTTCCTGTTCTAGAACAGTGACCTCTGAGCTCAACTGCCACAGGCCAGAAGTGATACCAAAAAAGGGAAAATGCATTTATTGGAAAAATTACTGGTGTTAACTGAACGAGAGGCTGGGGCTCGCTTCATTTGTGTGAGATGGTAGTGCTGGCTCCTCAGCTATGACCTGGGCTAAAAGTCAGAAAGGTCACATTGATGTCTCAGTTGTAAATTTAGCAGGGTTGAACTTGGTTGTAATTAGATGAGAAAAGTAGCAGTAATGATGGCATTCTTCCCTCTAATCTTTTAAGAATATTTAGTCACATAATGAATGAAATGATCTTCAGAAGGATTTAAGAAAGAATGGCTGCCTCAGCTCTCCTTGACAATCCTGTTCAGGACTTGTGATTCTGTCTCTTCAGGCACATAAATACCTTACAAGAATCTAGTCCAAGGTTACAATCATTGAGGCCCTCGCTGGACTGACTTAGCTCCAAGCATTCAGTTTTAGGTTACTGCTTTCCCTTGGTTCAAGGGTAAAAGATACTGTGGTTAGAATACTTGGCTGTAACCCAGGAGATCCAGCTTTGGGTTCTGCTCTTTTTTGTGTTGTCTCAGACAAGTGCTTAAACCCCACTGTGCTCATGTCTCATGGGATGATAACCCTGTTTTTCTAAGCTTTCTCTTGGCTTTGAGCAATTTCGGATAGGGACTGTATGTTCCTACCGAGTTTATCTTGATGTGATCCTGATATGACAGGAATGGCCAGTTATGTGCTCCTGTCATAAGCCTAGTAACAGTCTGCTGCTTCTGCTTCCTTTCATACCACTTTGTCCTCTCCTTCGAATCGCAGCCTTTTGGCTTTCTTTTGTCCTTTCTTCCTAGTGTCGCAAATATTTAAGGGAAAACAGTTTCTTAGCTATATTTCAGCTACACTGTAAACTGGTTGGGTTTCTTTCCTTAGGGCCCTGTGTGTGAATCAGAAGTTGGGCAGCATGTCCCATAGCTCATGCTTTGTTTTTAAGGTGCAGCACATACATGGGGCTGCTCTACTATTGCTGTCTCCCAGTGTGGGCTTTTGTGGAGGCCATTTCCTAGCTGCTTGCTGGCATAATGCCATGAGACAGCATCTTTGGTCATGCAACTCTAGAGTTTTACAGGATAAACACATTAGCAAATGACACAGGGCCTGAAACTAGCAGCGTTTACATGAATTTGTATTTGTTGCCTTTGCATCTTTTTTTGGGAGAGTCCCTTATATGTCATGGCATAGCTTGGCACAGATGTCCTCAGAAGGATGAAGTTGTCTGTCACCTTGTGACCAGTGCTGCTGTGGACTGGCTTTGTGCTTCAGGTGGACTCCACAACATTCTCTGGCCTGGATGTCCCCAGGCTTTGGATGCTGATGGGATTTCCTGGTTAAGGGCAGGAAGCCTGGTACCACGGGAATCACTGCATGAACGCTGTGAGTCACTCTTCTCTGCTTTGATGCTCTCATACATGGAGCAGTTCCAAAGTTTTCAGTTTTCATCCTTTCTGCTGTCCTGTGCATCCAGGGCTTGAAGGTGTGCTTAAAAACGTGTTCATCTCCCTTTGCACAGCAATCTTAAACTGCTCGAGCCTCCGTTTTGTGCTTGCCCAAGCTTTCTGACACAGCCCTAATACTGCTGTTGTGTAGATCACTCCTCTGAAGCACTCTTTACTGGCTGTTGATGAGACTCACCAGAGTTTTCCCTGAGTGCACTTATATCTTGGAGGAATTACTCCAGGGCTTCAGTATACTCCATACTGCATCTGTACCCTTCAGCTTTCCTTGCCAGGGCACCTACCTGTGTTCTGTTGGGCTCATAGGCAGTACAACAAAGTAATTTCAATGCATGAAAGACAACATCTGTTAAGTTTGGAATTACTGACCCAGCAAAGTTAATGTGACAGAAAATGCTATTTGTAAGTGAATACCACTGGGGTCTTCACAGCCAGATATAGACTGGCAACCAGTGTTTTCTCCAGCATCAAAGGCCTTAACCCTTAACTAGTTTCTGAAATAGAAAGGTTGTAAAAGGAATAAGAGACTGGCAACTCATTCTGGAGCATCCTAGTTTGTCCTCATGGCCATCCTTCTTACTTCTCTCATCTTGGAACCACAGAAACAAATAAAAAGGATGGAGAGAAAAGTTCTCCATAAGCTGAAGGTCTCAGGCAAGCAGCAGGATGAGAATTGCCACCAGTTCCCATTGCTCAGTTGCTCCTGGGTGCTGCATAGCTTGCCTGGGGGTAGGAGCCAAGCAAAGGGGGCTGTCCTTCGGCAGTATACAAGGAGCAGGGAGTAAAAGGGGAGGTTTTTCCTGTCTTTTCTAGAAGCATGAAATCCCAGCAACAAAAATGCAGTCAAGATGGAAACTCTGCTTATGTTTCTTCAGGCTCTTCTGTCAGATGTTCCACATGTTTGTGGCCACAAAAAATAACATTACTGAGTCATTTGCCTGTTACAAAGCAAATTGCTTCTGAAAGCAACATGAGATTGTGGCATGTTTTTAGACTGGCAGCTATCTTGGCTTGTCTTCAGCACTAATGATACTTGCTTGAATTTCCTTGGCAGTTTTCATTAGATCAATGGATTGTGTTCCTTCCCCCGTTTTAAGTATTTAGGATTGTGACTACATCCCATGATGGGGTGAAATAATCACTACAAAGTACTCTGTGTCTGTGTACTTCTTAGTCATTTTATCACATCAGAAGTAGTGTGTTATCCCAGATGAAGCATGGATAATATTTACAGAAGATGGCATAGTTGATGTAGGTGAAAGTGCATATCAAATGCCAGATTCCTGGATTTTCATTTTTTTTAAAATCTAGGTCCCAGTCTTCCAGCTGGTATATATGATGATTATAACCATGGGGAAAACCTCTGTTGACCTGAACAGTGCCGATTAGGCACAAGTGTTTGTTTAGCCGGGGTTAAATCCCATCTGCTTTGTAGGGCTACCTCAAACAAAACTGTGAGGGAGGATTTGCCAGGCTGCTACCTTAACAAAAGATAACAACTAAACTGAACCTGGGTGGACATGGTAATTCTGAGCACTGTCGGGAGTCTGACACACATCGAGGCTTCTGTCACACAAGCAGGTTAGAACCGGTGAGGTGTCACCTCAGTGGGAGGACTGTCAGTCTTGTGATGGCGAGTCTTCTTTCAGCAGTCAAATTTCCCACAAGATTGTCTTCATCTGGGGCAGGCGGATTCATAAGACTACCTCCAGGCCTGTGGTTTTGGCAACTCTTCATTTTTTCTTTCATACTGTTTGACCTTTTTTTTTTTTTTTTTTTTTTTCCACTCAACATTTTTAGGATGCAAAATCTATGTTAAGCCAAGACTGCTGGATCTTCCCCCAGTCATTTTGTGCTTCATGATTTCACTAATTTGAAACTAATGTTACCAGTGCTTATTTATGGACAAGAGTCAACCCAAAAGTAAATGTGGACAGATTTGAGATAGATAGCACCTGGTGCTGAAAACTGACATCTCTGCATGTGCTTCTGTGCTCAGAAACGGCCATTAAGTTCTGTTTGACAAATCCTATGAGAACAGTAGCAGTTCAAAGATGCTGGGCTGTAGTACTACAAATTTTAATCTTCCGGTGCTGAAAGCAGAAAGACTGAGTCAGCCCACTTCCTTTTAAAAAGAAGTCAGAGTAGAAGTGATTAAACTTATTTCTTCCTCAAGCTGCAGCTACTCATGGCTTATATTTTAGAGGGTCAATTCTGTTGCCTGCCCCAACACTCTCTGATACTGGGCACGACTGCCTGGACTAGCAGACGCGGCAGAGGACCTGCAGGGAGACCCATGACCTTCTGGGGCAAAACCTGGGGGGTCACAGGAGTTGTCAAAGTAATTTTTTCTTTCAGTGCAACTAGCTGCTTTGTAGGCTTTTACTGCATCATCACTGGAAGGGTTGCTAAATGATACTTGCTGACTAATGCACTGCACATGCACATTCACTTTGTTTTTTAAGATGACAGCAATGCTTGGGTCCTACTTAGTATTTTAACTCTCCAAATCAGGTTATTTAACTTTTTCAAAAGCTCTGAGCATCTAGCAGTTTCTACATAGTGCTCTTGTGCTACTGGGAAATTAAATCATGTAGTCCCACAGCTAAAGGTAGCTTTTTCAAAGCCTGCTGTTGGCTGCATCTTTCTGACAGTCACCAGGAGTGAAGTATTTTGTATGTGTGTACACACTTCCACAGAAGCTTGGCCACACAGAGTGTTCTCCCTCTGTCTTCCTGGGCTGTAAAAACTGTTCATACCTTGGCATCAATATATCTGCATTAATCTGTCCCTCAGACTGAAACCGCCGTGTTAAAGGATGCAGACACCTGCAATTGTAGACCCAAACAGTTGGAACTAGATGGGGGGGAAAAAAACAGCAAAATACAGCTGGAACTAGAAATGGAGTAATTTTAAAAATCATTTTAGGCAGGCATGTTTCTTGTATGTTAATTATTCTGGCACATAAACCCAGATTGATCTTCCTGGCAAATGCATGAGTAGTTTAAGGGTTCCAGGGAAGAACATTTTGAACACAGTAGGACAACACTGTAGTTAATTGCTGCATGTTGCATCTTGACTCATGTAAATGTTGGCTTAGACTAAAAGGAAAAGAAAAAAAAACCCTAACCTACTTTTGGTGTGTATGGGGCCGTATCTGTAATCTAACTGATGGATTTTCTTTTCAGAATAATCAATGCATTCCAGCTGGGTTGGAAAACTACTACTCTGAACAAGACTCCAGTGCTCGAGGGAAATTTTACACAGTCATAAACCACTACAATCTGGCCAAACAAACCATCACGCGCTCAGTGTCCCCGTGGATGACAGTACTGTCAGAAGAGAAACTATCTGAACAGGAGACTGAAGCTGCTGAGAAATCAGCTTAGTACGATAAGCTAATTATTAACACTATGTCATTTGAAGGTAACTAAGGGACTTTAAGGAACTTTTCATTAAATATAATTATGGATAATTTAGAGGTTACTCATGTTTATGGTGCAATTGCTTCTGTTTGCTGATACTGCTTTGCAAATAAAACAAAAACTTGCTGCAGAACATTCATGGGCATAAAACAAGGTGCATATCAGCATTGCTTTAGAGCTTTGACACCATTTTAAATGTTAAAAAAAAAAATAAATCCAATGTTAGATACGTTCTTGCAGTTTATTGGATACTGACAGATTTCTTCACTGGAGTTCCAGGGCTTGGACCTTAGATAAATCATGTGTTCTGTTGTCTAAACTGATACTTTATTACTTTTTTTATTCTTTGTCACTTTGCAAACTGAAACACCCCAGCCATAACTAGAGTGATCTCTTGTTTAGCTGAAAGCTATATTTAATGTTTAGTTTTGGCTCAAGCAAGAATGATAGCATTGATGTCCAGGGCATAATGTAATGACTTGTATGGAGAAAGAAACTGTCAGGTAGCATTTTTCTTACATTTTCTTTACTGTTGTTTATTTGTAAGTGATAATGAAGTTCTCTGCAACAAGGCATGCTCAATGTTTTATTATTGCTGTCAACAGGATTTAACTGCATTTCCACTGTGGCTTTTAGCATCTTGGTAAGGATGTGCACTGAAACACAAACTAGATAGACATTATGGAAAAACACAGGCAGTTTTAGTGATGGATGTTGAGGATAGTCTGAAAATACACAGTTCAGGATCTTCTAATGAGAGACAACATCTTTTGATCATACTTAAGAGGCAAAAAGCCTATTCACAGTAGATGTAGTCCACTATGTAATTTGTTGAATACAACAGAGAAATATGTCTAAATTTTCTCTTTTATTACATTAACATTTCCCCTTTTTATTAATTAGAGCTTTCAATTTATGTATGGTTTGCTGTTTGATACTTTTTAAAACACAGCTTCACAAGTGAAACAATAGCATATTAGATAACACAACTGGCTGTTTTGAAGCTACATGTGAAACAGTGAAGAGTAGAACTTTATGTATGGCTTGGGAGGGGAAAAGATGTAGAAGAACATAGTATTGTGGATGCACGTTAAAGTTCCATTGTAATTACAAACTTCTCTCTTCTTTGTGTGAAACCATGTTTTCATTTTTATTATAAATCTTAAATATATAAAAGAAGACATTTAATAGACAAAAGTGTGAAGCATCTGGGCAAGTCACCTTTTTGTTCATGTAACTTGAATGGGACAGGGTAGAGTGGACATGTCAAAAGTTCCTTTTTTGGGGTGGGGGTTTTTTTGATAGAGACTATACAAAAATGAAGGGAAAACATGAGATTGGGCTATTTCTCAAGATCTGTAGTAGGACAAACATGGTCAAGCTCTACTTTTATTTTTCTTCAGTAGAATTACTTTATCAACAACCTTTCTTACCAATACAGTAAAAATAACCATTAGTACTTAATTCTCTAGGTTTGATATGAAGTGTGCATTACACCATCTATCTGTAGAAGGCTTTTTATTAAGTCATTATGGTATGTGGTATGCACAAAAAGCAATAAGTTTTGTGCCAAATTTTTCTCTGCATTTAAAAATTTCAAGCTTATGTTAAGATACTCAAAACATACCATGTTTGCATTTTCTAACAGACATATGCTGTATTGGAGGCAATTAATTCATGTGTAACTTCTGACATTTTCATTCTGTGCAGAGCAAAGAACAAGGATGATGTTGGTTGTTGCATATAATGTATAGAAATGTACCTTTCAGAAGAGACAGCAAAACATTTCATATCAGCATATTTACAGAGGACATTCAGATTTCACAAGAGGGAAAGATCTGTCCCCAAGACTGTCCTACATAGAAATCACATCTCCCCTTAAATTTAGAACAATAAAAAATTTAATGCAAAAGTAAATACTGGTGAGAAACAACTTCTCTCTCTCATAACAATAATCATCAAAAAATACTAAGCTTTACAGTCTAGGAGAAACAGATTGCTCATGCTTCTTAACTCAAAACCACTTTTTCCTCCGATTTAACAGGAAGGAGGTTTTTTTGTTTTAGTTAAATTGCTCCCAATTTTAGTATTTTGAAGAGTTTGGCTTCCATACTGTATATCCTTTGGCATTGTTTGGACATCTCAGAACATCTTTTTGACTGCACAATCTGTGTTGTATTCTCTCTTTTCACATAAAAGTAAAGCTCTTGAGCTGAATTCTTACCATTATTATTACTATTAAATCAACCTGATCTTTGACTCAAGTAGTTTCAAAGGATTAGAAGTAGAGGGTCATACATGTGCAAAATGATCACTATGTACTGAAGTGGTATGATTAAATAAAAGCCTGAGACAGTGTAGATGCTTTTGCACAGTAACAGTTTTCATCTGGTCTGCACACTGGGAGGTGGACTTCAAACATCACAGATGTGTGGGTGACTGTGATAAAACCATTATCTTCTTTTTTCTTCTGTTAGCTATGCTCTAGCTTGCAGCTTTCTTACCAGCTCTTTCAAAGGTTTCTGTGTTCTTCGCAGGATTAAATGTGGGTTTATGTTTGATAAAGGGATTTAAAAAGAATGTTATTAGGTCCCTCTGCACTAAGAGATATAGACACATGCTTATTTATTGGAAAATATTTCCATCATAGTGGCATGAAAAAATGCATAAAACACACAGGTAGGCTGTGTACCCCACTTCACTGAAAAAAATATCAAAAGTTTTACAAATAAAGCATGTAGACAGTATTATATTTTTAATTAATTATCATACCAGTCCAGGAAAAGCAAGGAAAATGAACACATTACAAGGAAGAATAGGATCCATACTCTAAATCCAGCGTTGTTTTTGATGGCCTGTGAGGAAAAGTTATCTCCATTACCTCACTAGTAAACACACAGTAGAATATCAACAATAGCAACCCAGGATGACTGCTAGTGGCTTCACTCTTCCCTTCCAGAGGAAAGAACACAACCTGCCCTTTGTTTCTGGTGAATAAGAGTTAGGTTGGCTAGATTTATCACGCTAAAGAAGTTTCTCTCAAAATCTTAGAATTGGTAATTCAAGAAAAAGAAAAAAATATCACAAAAAATCCCAAGATTCCACACAATGTAAATATATTAAAACATTAAGAACTACGTTAAAATGTACATGCTTAAAAATTTAAGTTCCAAAAGTGAAATTTTGTGATTAGAAATAATCAGACCTTCATCACTTAATAAACATCCTCTGAGTAAAGACCAAACTAAAACCTAACAGCTATTTGTAGAGGTTGATTTAGCACTGTTGATTGTGGATTTCAGTCTCAGAGCAAGGAACAAGCATTTTTCTTGGATTCTCCTTCTGAAAATTGAGACCAGCATATACATGGGGATCTGTTTTCTGCCATTTTTCAGATTTACACACAGAATACATTTTTTTTGTGATAAAAACATTAATGTGAGTGATGAAGGTTTGATTTATCATGTTTCTTTACTGTTTCTCAGTTTGGTTTAGGAAACCTAGTTCTACCTACAAATGTGAAAAATGAAGCAAAAATAACTTCAGTTCATGCCATATTTGAGGCACTTTTCAGGAGAGCTGAGCAGTAGATAACTCATCCTTGAGTTAGATATTCTGTGTGCTTTCAGGAGGCAGGGGAAAAAAAAACCAAACAAAAACTGAGCCATTTACTCAGTAGCATAATTTAGGAACTCTGTTTTTATTGAAATCTCAGTTCCTGAGAGAAAACATAATTTCATTCTAATTAGTAAGACAATGGGATAGATTTGTTTACTAGGAGCATGTGAGATGCATTCAGCATGGTAAGGAGACTCTTCTGCTAGCACTCAGCTTTTAACTCCAGTTTCAGCAATTTCAGCGCTTTTATTTGTAGTCTGCAGTTTCTCCTCCCTCTTTTTTTTTTTTTAAACAAACTTCACAAGTGCTTAAATGCATGCCATGTGGCCTTCATATTTAAAAAAAAAAAAAAAAAAAGGTGAGGCCAAGTAGATTTCTGCAGATCATGGTTAGCAAGACGAGCAACATGAACTATTGAGAACCTCAGCCAACTAGTTCAATTCTTCCAAAATCACGTCCCGATGCCCCAACACATGCTGCACCTGTACTGTGGGGGACACATGCTGTTTAAAGCAACACTTGGGCAAAACTGAAAGCTAAGAGAAATCAGTGACTTTAAAATACAACTTTGAGGCATTACCTCTCTTATGTCCTCATTGCCTTCTTTGATATTTTCTGTTGCACCCACAACTAATTGATGGATATTGTCAATATCAGTTTCCTGTTGAAAAAATAAAATTGAGTAACAGGGATGAACACTTCCAAGCACTTGGGGAACAAGCAGAACTCAAAAATGAAATACAATCTGGTATTATTAACATCTTAGTTTCAATGATGCAAAGGTACAGAGGCAATTAAGTTATAATGTGTTGACCTGTGATTTTATGAGTCTGAGCGGAGACCACCGAGATCAGTAGGAAGTCTCTCATTTATCTAGAATCCAGTCTAACCTATGTAATTTTTGGCATCTCTTTTGGAAGAGATGCCACCATTTTCAGAGAAGATGCTACTAAGCAACATATTTAACAGGATGCTAATTCTAAGGTAGAGACATTCTAGCATATAATGTTGCATTTTCCATTCCTAGTACATACTGATAAGTAACTACGATAAGTACCTTGATTTTGCATTTAAAAACAAACATCTTTTCCTTCACATTTGCATTAGATTCATTAATCTTATGTTTACATCTTGCATAAAACCAAGACCGAAATACCCCCAAGAAAATCTTCAAGCTGTAATACTACAGCAACAAATACATTATACTAACCTGTTGCAAGACTTTTTCAGTAAATATCTCTTGTAATCTGGAGATTTCCACCACTTTTCCTTCAATTTGTCTTGGCAAAGAACAGAAATACTTAATTAGAAACTAGTGCAGACCTTTCTTGCTCCTGCAGGTTGAGGCTCTCCCACCCAGTCAGTGGGCTGTTCAGCAGGCACAGCTATGCTGTTAGCTGTCTGTTACGTAGCAGTGGCCTGTGATGAGGGCTCTGACAGCTCCCGGTTGGAAGATGACCAGCCCGCAGTGAACCTCGGGGAGAGGCACCAGCAGCCTGCACTGCGAGAGCTTTGCTATCTTCCTTCTTTCAGCCAATACAATAAAAACCATGGTGTAGTAAATTTTGACGTATCCTTTATATACGCTACTAGGAAGTGTGAAATTCACCTTGCCTAGTACTAATAACCCAAAAGCTAAGCTCTAGCCTAAGCTAGCCATTCAGGTTTTCTGCACAGCATGCGGAGAGCAAACTGCACCTCTGCTGCTCTGCCATACGGACGCGTCTCTGCACGGGGGGCAGTGACTGCACCTCCCCTCCTGCTGTCTGCAGCGGATACCGTGGTATGATTGGAAGATTTAACTTTTCTAAACTTGGATAAGCGAGACAGAATGTAAGCCTTCCAAAGTTAAGCAGTACTATTTTGGATAGTTTGTATGTCACTCAGAACCATTCTTTACACTGTGGGACAGCACAGTGTGTAAACTTGTACAGTTCATTTCCTGGGCACTCCTATCTTGTCCCTCCTCCTACCACAGCACTACAGTTTAGGCAGCCAGGTGTCCTGGCTGTGTGGGGGTGTTGCCTGTGTTACAGGACCGGCATGCAATCTGTCAAGTAACAGAAAATCGTACCTGACTTCATCAAAGAGGTTATTCATTTCACCAACAAGTCTCTGGTTCTCCTGTTCAAACTGGAAGGAGGAAAAAAGGAAATTGCACACATGAGTTCACATGCTTGGACTCAGGGAACCTTCACCCCCACCCCTGATTGACCAACTTCCACCCTTCCTTGCAATTTATTTACATGTCCCAACTAAAAAGATCTGCAAGAATTACTAATCCTGGCCTAAATGAACAACATGAATCGGCTTACCTGTAACCAGTCACTGTAACACTTGTCATTCTCCTCCCATTAATGAAACAAACCCCTAAAGTAACTTGAAGATTGTGCTCATTACTTTTTAGTAAGGAAAAATATAATGGATGAAATCTGTCCTTTTTTATTATTTTAGAAACTTGAGTGGGCAAAGCTTTCATGCTTGTGAAAGCATGCGATTCCCTCCCTGACATCTTTGCACTGTCCTTCACATTATTCCTGTACTGCCCATGGCATGAAGTTAAGAGCTTTTAGATTTTGCTACAATATGAAATATTTTGACATCTAGTGCTTAATACTTTACAAATGCATTGGCTTTATTTATTCCAGCAGACCTCTTCCATTTAAAACTCATGAGTCATCAATGAAACATTTAAATATACTTTTAGCATTAGATTTTTCAAAACCCATGTGTAAATAGACTTTATACAGGAAAATGGGCTTTGCCTTTAGATGTACTTGACTGTGAGATCGTTTGGGATTGATTACAGAACAAGTGATCATGCAGCAAGTACCATGACATTTTGCTGAAACAGTATCTGCCCAGCCAAAACACAGCTGAGAAAGGTATCCCATGTCACAGTGCGGCTTATTGGAAACCGCATCGTGAGGACAGTGTCAGAGAACCCGTTACAGCATGCTGAGCTGGGATTTCCAAGGTGCCTGAACGAGCACAATCCTGCAGCCTGGCAGCCAGCTACAGGTGATTCCAAGCCTGAGGGGGCCCACAGCCTGCCACTGCCTGCCCCACTGCCACTCGCTCGGCTCGGGGCAGCGCTGTGGTGATCCTGCCCCAGACAAAAGGCTCCTGCTGTCAGGGAGGGCAGAGCACCTCCTATTGGAAGGGTCACGAGTCCTGTTTTGGGGAAAGGAGCGGCAGCGTATTTGAGGTATTCTGCCAATTCTGCGTGGCCAAAGCCTTGGTAACAGCTGGACCTGTGTGGTACAACTTGAGAGGATATTTGCACTTTTCTTACGGGCTGGGAAAGATCTGGTCTACATGGTTATACAGAAACAGCACACAGGATATACATCTCTACTGAAAACATTATGTGCTACGCATCTCTGACAAACTTGAGTGATGCATGCAGCAGTGCAAATACCATAAAATAGGATTCAGAATGCAAAGAATTTGAATTGGGAGCTGTGCAAGACAGCAAGGCCTGTTCTAGTTCAGTTAATCTTATTTTGAACTAGCTGACATAAACACACTGGGATTTTAGCATAATTCAATCATGTTACAGTTTCACTAGCAGTAACAGTGCACCACTCCTCTCAGCCACCTTGCAAGGTCTCGTCACCCTTTTTAAGACAGAGCAGTGTGTTGTCAAAGATGAAAATGCCAACAGGACAGCACTGCTTACAGGTCAGACTTGGTTTTCAGTTGATGCCATAGGAATTGCTCACTCTGAGCATATGCCCAACAATATGCCCAGAGAAGATACTAAGTATTTGAAAACAACTATCACCTTGTGCAAAAAGCAAGAGAAAGAAGCGACAGGGTAAAGTCTGAATCATGGAGAACGCTGGTAACAGTGAGAGCCGTGTTACATCAGTGAAAGGCAAAGGGGCCTTCTGCTTTTAGAGCAGTGCTACTGAAATAGCTGAAAGTGAAGCACTTTGAAATTCTTAGTTTAAACAATAATGCAGTTCCTCATTAAGATGCAACGTGAACATCAGTGGCTATAATATGACATAAGTTCATCTGACCCATAGCTTCCTTCACAGAGCCAGTCTGTAGGAGTATGTACATTTAACATTATTACACTGCTACATTTGGTGACGCTCTTTGACTCACCACCGAGACCCCTGCCCTGCCCCAGTCATGCGACCAGCATCTCTCTCCCTCGTCTTTTATGATCTTCCTTATACAGCTTGTGCAACTCCTCATATGCATTGCTTCAGATGATGAAGTGTGCATCCCTTGAAATGGTCCAGAATGTTCCAGCTGAAACTTCTGCCACACCAAGTACTTTCATAATACTAACCCAGAGAAGACATCAGGTGTGTATACTACACAGGGTGAAGCAAAAAAGATCTAGTGTAACCACTGAGGAATTTGTCCTGCTCCTCTCTGTCTCTTGACATACACAGTCCTAAGCAAGTGCTGCTGCTCATCTGATCTCACATTATGACATCTTAGCTCACTAACCACTTTTCCTGACTTTTCTGGTAGTTAGTAAACTGAGTCCCAACACAGGACCAGATGATAGGGCTGGCTTAAAGGAGAGTGGATAGCAGGAGCTGAGCAAGGCTTCTGCACTGCCACAGACCAACACAGAAAAGCAAGAAAACAAGAAAAGGCAAGCCACCTTTCATACCCTTCACCTTCATTCCCTCCTCACACCTCACATCACCACTGTCCCTCACACTTCGTATTTTTTCAGAGAAACAGTACCTGACTCTGTGCCAACAGCAAATTAAATGTCAACCTGTATGACTTCCGGGGAAATGGTTACTCTGTTTAAAATCAGAAATTCGTAGGTTTAATTTAGCAGAAGTGAGTGAGAAATGACAGGTATGTTTAAAGAAGGGTAACAGTGAATCTCACAGAAGAATGTTTGGTCTTCTGACATAGGGAATTTATGTCACGAAGAATAATGAAAAGTGATTTTTTATTTCTTTTAAAATATAAATTTATTTTTATACTAGAGGTTTGCTATCTACCTGATTGGCAAGAACAGCTTTCTCTCCTTGGTAACAGAACTCCATAGAGTCCAAGATCACAGATGAGGGTCTGTCAGGCACTGTCACCTTCATTGTGGGGTAGAGACCTCAGGGAAGGTGCCCAGCCCCACAGCTCAAAGGGAAACAAGAGAGGAACATACAGCACAGCTCCCTTAAGTCCCACCAATTCCCACCCTAAAGATCCAGTGGTTTTGTTAAATAAAAAAGCAGCAGTATTGTAATACATTCAGATGTCATTGTCACTGCTGTCTGTAGTGTCTCCTTCTACAGAGCAGAGCATTTGTTAAAATACAATTGACTAATACAGTGATATTTATTTTACAGTGGCAGATGGTTAAAGGTGTGTCCATCACTGCACTCCTTCATGTTCACACTACTGTATGTCTCTGATTTTAGTGGAGTGACCAAAACAACTCAGAACAAATCCAAGGAACAGAGCAATGAAACAGAGCTGTGAGATTTAGCACTGAGTCAACTGGTTGGTCCTTAAGTGACTAAAGGGGGGCAGCAAGCTGTAATTGTTTTTCTGTCTTCTGTAAGGATAAGTATTTCTGCACAAATATTCAACATCAAACATTCCCTATTTCACTACCTCAGTAAAACAGAGATGATAACTAACTTAGAAGGCAGATTTTCAATAAAGCAGTGAATGATTTTAATCCCTTACAAATAGGGAAATCCACTTGAGAAAGTATTCTTAAAAAAGTCCCTTTGATATTTAAAGCTCTCCACTGGCACAGATTGCCTTTTAAACTGCTAAATGATCTCTACAATTTGAAATCACGGCTGATGGACTGCTTGGCGCAGACAGCAGTAAGATATGCTAAAACAGTCAATTGAACAAAAGGGTAGAACGCAGAACACATCATATAGCAGTGTGTCACAAGGGATTTACATGATGAGAACAGAAACCAAACTCTAGCAATCTGTATAGCTCAATGATTTATGGCTTATTAAAGTAGCCTCTTTTATGACAGTGGAATGTTCTGTTACCAAAGTGTGGCATAAAGTGACAAACTGCTGAAGATATGTCTAAAAATTTAATGCATAAAAGAAATAAACACAGTTCTTTTTTGTTATCCCATGAGATAAGTCATTATATGTACTGTACCTGAATTTAAGACAAAACCAGACAAAAGTGATAAAGTCAGGGAGAATTAGATATTTTCACAACTCAAACAGCAGAGCCAGATTTTTTCCCACTCAATGCAACCACAAGACATCTGCTCACAATAACTATAAAACCCATTAATATACCTGTACTCAGGGTTATAAACTGAAATTTATTGTGCAAATCATACAATAGCCTGCAACCATTTTGAACAATGTAAAGATGTCTCCTGTGGGTAAAAGACTGATAGAAATTGCTGCTGTAGCAGTATGATAGGGCTTTAATTCATTATTTTACCCACAGGAAGGATCACAGAACCACGATTGAGACATGTTGTATGATTTGACACAACACATTCCAAATTAAAACTAACACAACAGTTTCTACACTGTACCATACCCTCCCTCTGAGAACTGCTGGATTTTTTAAGTAATTTAAAAGGTAGCTGATCCACTCTTCACAAATCAAATATTAAAAGAAGTAGAAATTAACTTCTCTGTAACAGCAAGCATAATGCAGAGGAGAAAGAGTTAACTGTCTTTAAGTGACTAAATTAACTAAAGCTGTGAGGGTTTGTTACATGTTTGTAAAGACCCTTTGATTCCTGTGTTAAAAGCACAGTGAAGTCATTACATATTGCCAAGTTAGTATGAAGGATTTATGTGAGCAATGAAAAAAGTAATGCACATTCAAATACTCAAAATATTTCCTAATTACATCTATATTTACACCTCAAATTTACCTGAAAAGTAGAATACTGGATCCAGTGACTTTAAAGTCTGTTAGGAGGGAAATTACAGTATCCAACTTTTACTAATAAAGGTCAAGTCCTAGCTACAAATTTCCTCAAAAATGCACTGAAAGAGCAATTTCACTGTGAAATAGTCACCACATACATTGCCAGCCTTTGTAAACTATCTAGTTATGATGTTCATAAAACAACAAAAAAAAAAACCAAAACCCAAACCCAC